TCGGGACTGTGATGCGAACGTGTTGTGTTTAGGTATGTCTTCGGCAGTAAATCGACGTCGAGACAACCTATCTAGGGCAGGCTGAAGATCAACTGGCATTCTAGCCTCAGGCAAGTACCTACCGTAGCTACCTAGGTGGGTAGGTACCTAGGTAGGTATGTAATTACCCAGCACCTTAGATAGTGTAGTTTCATTACACACGTCCATATCTAGGCGGGGCATATCCAGTTATGCAGGCCCACTCGCGCAATACTTACTTATCTACCCAATTATTCGCTTGAACCGTGCGTCTCTTTTCAGTACACTGGCTTGGCACTGGACAGCCACATTTATTAACACGATTTAGTCTAGATAGTTATCTAGACATAGCATTCAACTGTGGTGTAAAGCCACTGTGGCCAGCCGGGCGGTTGTAGCCCACACTCTACTCGACCCACTAAAAATAACGCCGTGGACCCTCTGACGGGTTCCCAGGGCAAGAGGGACAGATTTCCGTAGTACATTTTAGGTTCGTAAGGTAAGGGTGGTGGATGGAATTACTTCGTGACGGTCAAAGTAACTCCATTATGTACCCATCGTTGCTATTTGGGACAGCCTGGTCAGTGGTCCCGAATTGAAGATCGCTCCCTCTACCTACTCTACAACCGTGCTGTAGTCTTTACTCTACCTGCCTACCTGGGTATTGTTTCGTTCACTAGCACCACTTGCGAATCGAGCTATCCCTGGGATGCATAGTCGTATTATATTCCTGACTGCCTACCTTTTGTTGTCTGTTGACTCCTTGTCCTCAGTTTAACCAATCCTCGATTCTCGTCTCTTCATACCAATTTCCCTCTCCACTTCCACTCCCGCGCCCTTGACGGGGGATTTCGATCTGGACCGAATCCCAACGCTTGACCGTTCTAATCGGCTCTCCTTTCGCCCCTTTGTCTCGAATAGACCCGGTGTCAACGTTGTCGAGGCGGTCGAGAACCGCAACAGTTGCCCATCATGACCACTTTTCTCGAGAACGCCTACAGCTTAGTCCACCAGGACAACGCTGCTGATGTCCCCTCCATGTCAGAGCTGCGCACGCAGCTGGAGAAGGGCACAGACGAGACTAAGGTCGATACCATGAAGCGCATATTGACCATCATGTTAAACGGCGACCCTATGCCTCAACTCCTCATGCACATCATTCGATTCGTCATGCCCTCCAAATCGAAGCACCTAAAGAAGCTACTTTATTTTTACTATGAGATCTGTCCCAAACTCGATTCGAACGGGAAACTGAAACAGGAAATGATTCTGGTTTGGTGAGCCTTCTGACGCTAAGCCGAGACTTGGCCACCCGCCCCTGCTCAGTGCTAATTGGCGATTGTACAGCAACGGCATCCGGAATGACCTTCAGCACCCCAATGAGTATATCCGAGGAAATACCCTGCGCTTTCTCTCTAAGCTTCGAGAACCCGAGTTGATCGAACCCCTCCTGTCATCCGCGCGGTCCTGTCTCGAGCATCGACATGCCTATGTACGGAAGAACGCTGTTTACGCCGTCGCCTCGATCTACCAGCATTCGCCCTCTCTCATTCCCGACGCTGCAGACCTTATCGCCATTTTCTTAGACGGCGAGAGCGACGCGACTTGCAAGCGCAACGCCTTCGCTGCCCTCTCGAGCATTGACCATGAGAAGGCGCTCGCATACCTGAGCAATGTGTTTGAGGGCATCACGAATGCAGAGGAATTGTTACAGTTGGTAGAACTCGAGTTCATCCGCAAAGACGCTATTCAGAACCAGCAAAACAAGGTATGCCGGTGATTCAGACAGGACATTTGGCCTTATAGCTGACTTGAGATAAGCCCCGGTATTTGAGGCTCATCTTCGACCTATTAGAAGCCAACACCTCGACCGTCGTGTACGAGGCTGCCTCGTCCTTAACCACCCTCACTAGCAACCCCGTAGCAGTCAAGGCTGCCGCTGCCAAGTTCATCGAGCTCAGCATCAAGGAAGCAGACAACAATGTGAAGCTTATCGTGCTTGACCGCGTGGATCAGTTGCGCCAACGAAACGATGGCGTTATAGATGACCTCGTCATGGAGATCCTCCGTGTTCTCTCGAGTCCCGATATTGACGTGAGACGCAAAGCTCTTGGGATTGCTTTGGAGATGGTTTCTAGCAAGAACGTTGAGGAAGTCGTGCTGTTGCTGAAGAAAGAACTCTCCAAGACGGTCGACCAGGAATACGAGAAGAACGCCGAATATCGGCAGCTTCTAATTCAATCCATCCACCAATGCGCCATCAAGTTTTCCGAGGTTGCGGCCAGCGTCGTTGATCTGTTAATGGACTTTATTGCCGATTTCAGCAACTCATCTGCTGTCGATGTTATCAGTTTCGTCAAGGAAGTCGTCGAGAAGTTTCCTCAGCTGCGGCCTTCGATTGTTGCACGACTGGTCGATACACTCAGTGAGGTCCGGGCAGGTAAGGTCTACCGTGGGATCGTCTGGATTATTGGCGAGTATTCTCTTGAGGAAAGTGACATTAGGGATGCATGGAAGAAAATACGCGCAAGTCTGGGTGAGATACCAATTCTGGCATCTGAGCAACGGCTACTCGATAATGTCGATGGCTCAGAGGAGCAGGATCAGGATCAGGTGAACGGCCACTCTAAGCCCACTCAGCCCTCCGGCTCACGGCGGGTGCTGGCAGATGGTACATATGCCACCGAGACAGCTCTCACGAGCGCTTCAGCTGCTGCCGCGAAATTAGAAGCCGTCAAGGCGGCTCAAAAGCCTCCATTGCGGCAATTGATCCTCGACGGAGATTACTACCTGGCTACCGTCCTCTCCGCTACACTGACCAAGCTTGTCATGCGCCACTCCGAGATTTCCTCGGACAAAGCACGAACGAACGCCCTCAAGGCCGAAGCCATGTTGATTATGATCTCCATCATACGCGTTGGCCAATCTCAATTCGTCAAAGCCCCCATCGACGAAGATTCGGTTGATAGAGTTATGTCCTGTGTCAGGTCATTAGCCGAGTTTTCTGAGAACAAAAGCCTTGAATCCGTCTTCCTTGACGATACCAGAAAGGCCTTCCGAGCTATGGTTCAGGTTGAGGAGAAGAAGCGAGCGGCCAAGGAGGCCTTTGAAAAGGCGAAGACGGCAATCCAAGTCGATGATGTTGTCCAGATTCGTCAGCTCTCGAAGAAGAATCACGGAGAAGGAGCCGACGAGATTGAGTTGGATCTCGAACGGGCCACCGGTGGTGAGGCCACAAGTGAAGATCTTACCTCGAAGCTCAGTCGGGTTGTTCAACTTACAGGGTTCTCGGATCCTGTTTATGCCGAAGCTTACGTCAAAGTACATCAATTTGATATTGTATTGGACGTCCTCCTAGTTAACCAGACGACGGAAACACTACAGAACCTCTCCGTCGAATTCGCGACCCTGGGTGATCTCAAAGTCGTGGAGCGGCCAACCACCCAGAATCTTGGGCCCCATGATTTCCATAATGTGCAGTGCACGATCAAGGTGTCGTCGACCGACACTGGTGTAATCTTTGGCAACGTAGTATATGACGGCGCCCACAGCACCGACACCAATGTTGTCATCCTCAACGATCTCCATGTTGATATCATGGATTATATCCAACCAGCCACATGTACAGAGACACAGTTCCGAACCATGTGGACAGAGTTTGAGTGGGAGAATAAGGTCAACATTAACAGCAAAGCCAAGTCTCTACGCGACTTCCTGGAGCAGCTTATGGCATGCACGAATATGAACTGTTTGACGCCAGAGGCGAGCATGAAGGGCGATTGCCAATTCTTGAGCGCGAACCTGTATGCCAAGAGTGTGTTCGGTATGTATTTTCGAGGTTTTCCTTCCCCCATTTCTATGCAAACAGAGAGGAGATGCTAACTGGATTATAGGAGAGGATGCTTTGGCCAACTTGAGTATAGAAAAGGAGGGCGACGACGGACCGATCACAGGCTTTGTGCGCATAAGGAGCAGATCACAAGGTCTCGCTCTGAGTCTCGGCTCGCTGAAGGGACTGAACAAAATCGGAACGGGCGCTTGAATTCCGTTTGCTTTGCGGATTTGAATATTTGAACTTATCAACGCAGAAAGGAAGGCGGTTTACACAGGGACAAGTTAACTGACCGAGTCAGCCGTGCAAGTGCATTCACGATAGGTAGTAAGTACGCTGGGAGGAGCAGACAGACTCGCTGTTCAAGGACAAGACGTCCCGTGACTTGTAGAAGCTCGATCAAGCCTTGGCCAACAGGATCCCCGAAAAGCGAGATGCTGTTTTCAAACCGGGAGTAAAGCTAGACACAATGCAAATTATTTTTATGCATCAAATTTTACTAGGTATTTATTACAGTTTAACTGAAGCTGTTGGTGAATGGCAAGCCTTGATGATGTTCTGATATGTAATCGTCCACGTGAGAGGTGCACGGTATATGGGTAGTTGTGTCCGTCAACTCAGCTGCTACGAGACGGCCGTTGTTCCATCTGTCTGATATGTATGTGGTAATAGACTGGTAATAATTAAGGGAGCGCCGGCACGCCGGGGAGTCAAGGAGGGCATGGGGTAGGTCTCGATAGGTAGTCCATACGGGATTTGAGAGGAATCACCCGACACTTTAGGGGGGGGGGGGGGCCGGGCCGCGCGGGGCGGGGCGGGGCCCGGGGGGCCT